GTCTCCTGAGGCTCCCGTTCGCCTTCTCTCGCCGTCCCTTGCGCTCTCTGGGCGCGCTCGGCAGCCGCCTCAGCTCCTGGCAGCCGGCTGTGGAGAAAGTGGAGCAGGAAGTTTCGGCAGCGTGGCCTCTTTCCCTCGCATGGCCCTCCAGCTGCGCGGGGCGGGGGGAGAGAGGGAAGTGGGGGGGGGGGGAGGTGGGTGACCGCCCGCCCGCCCGGCTGCCTGCGTCCCTTCCTCACCGCGCTGGCACTGGGGCGGGGGAGACGCTCGCAGACCAATTCGCTCCCTCCCTCCCTCCCTCCCTCCTTCCCTCCCGGGGGGATTCCGCAACGGAGGACCTCCCCCCTCCCCGATCGGGGCTCTGTCTCCTCCCAGAGCACGCGGGAACTATGCAAATCGCCACAGCTTAAAAAGGAGACGGGGGGGGGCGCGTCGAGGCGTCTCCTCGGGGGGACGCGCCCGGGGAGACCGAGGTGGGGAAGGGCTCCCCTCCTCTCCCTCAGCGGGCGTGGAGTGGGGGTCTCGGCCGCGGGGTCGCCCTGCGTTTGACACGCGAACAGGCTCCTCGAAGGAAGGTCGCCGGGACTCGCTCCAAGCGCGGCGAGGCGCTCCGCGGTTGCAGCCTCTTCGGAGTTGGCTCTGCGACTTTGAAGCCTCGGCTCGCGGATTTTGCCGCCCGCGGCGGGTCTCCTTTGCTCGTCCTCACCCCGCTTGACGGAGACTGCGATCCCCAGGTCGCGTTTTCAGGGAACAGACCCCACAGGAAGGGTAGGATTGTGTCGCGAGTTGCGAAGGGCAGAGGGTCCCAAGAGAGCCACCGCCTTAGTGCTGGCCTCAGAAACTGAGCTGTCAGTACCACAACGTGGGTTTTTTTTTAGTTTTTATTTTTATAATGGAGATCTCAACCGCTAAATTCCCCCGGTGAGTTGTGGAAAGAAAATACAATCAGAAAAACAATAAAAACCCAGAGAAGCCAATATATTAAAGCAGCAGAACAGAAACCCAGCCGCCGTCCAATATCAATTTTTTCAACCCTGACTACACAACCCAATAAGTATCTTGGCATAAGGCCCGTTGAGTTTAATGGAACACACTTCTGTGTCACTTACCACGGAAAAATTCAATTGGATTAAATTGAATTTACCGACATGCCTAGGATTGCCTCATTAGCTGGACTGCAAGGAAATAAAAGGTCAGGCAGGACTGCTCTTTCAGCCCGAGCAAACCCGTGCATCGTCCAGTTAAGACCCCAGTTTTCCTTTATTTTCCACTCTGCCCTGGCAAGTGGTCGATCTGTATTCATTTACCTGGGAGCCAAACCTATTTCACACAATGATCCTTCGGAGTAAGCATGCTTGCAGAGTTGGCTTTGGTATCCAATGTCTGCCATCTGTATTTCCCTTGTTAGGCAACACTGAAGCATTTCATGGGTCAACTCCAATTCCGGTTGCTGCAAAGGAAATCTATTCATGATAGACAATTTGCTGTACAAAAGGGAGGGTAGTGGCATCATAAATAACAGTGGTCTTAAGTATTTCTACTCAAAGGTTAGTCCTGCTGTACTCAGCATGGCTTACTTTCAGTTGAAATGTATCTAGCCATTGTAGAGAATGCATCTTGAAGTATCTTCAGAGTGGATACTTTACAGTGATTCATACTTCAGTCACCATTTCTCCAGATTAAGCAGTGAAGATGTATCTGCATGACCCATTTATTTGAGTTAACATCTCAAAAAGTAAGAGATACTGCTTTATTTTCTTAGATACAAAATGAAAATGAATGACATTAAAAATAATAAGCATGCAATAGGACTTGAGGGCCATGTCTGGCCACGCTACCTGGAGGCAGCAAAGACCACTGATAATAACGGCAGCTGAGCAAGAGTGCCACATCTGTTACTTGGCAAAGACACAATTGCATCAGTCACTATTGCAACAGATACCACCTGGCTTTCTGGTAGGAATTGTTCCAGACAGAGCAGCATCTGAAGTTTAGCGTGGCCTTGGGAGGAGCAAGCCATCCCTATATCCTAGAACAATTGATTTAATGTTAGGCTAGGGTCAGGGAGAAACCCTCACTCAGCCATGCTTACTATGTGACCTTTGGACAGCACAGAATTTGTTTAGGAGCAAATCAATGTTTTTTAGGGAAAAAAGGGCAGGGAATCTTTGGTTACCCAGATGTTTTGGATTACAACCTGAGAACACTTTACCTGTTGGCTGGGGCTTTTGGGAATTGAGGCTCAATATATCTGGAGCACCAACGTCTTAACATTCTGGATTTGTTCAGTCATAGTTATTCCAATCTAGGGTCCTTTTCCAGGATTTTGACACAAGTGAATGCATATACTGTACTGACGCCCACTTCTACTACAAACATACCAGCATAATCAAGACAGGAAATAACCACTGTCATACAAAAGCAACAAAGGTTACATCGGTTCACAAGCTAACAGGAATCACTTTTATTAGTTACTTCCGGACTTTTTCTAGATCTTGCAATACAATCACAAGAGAAAGCAAACAGTTGAAGTTTCCTAAAGTGAAATGGACTAGATGACATTTTTGGGTGGGCCTGAGTGTTTGAATTCACAGCCTCTGTAACTCTTCCTTTTTAATAGGGCTATTTCCTGTTAGGAGTTCAAGAATTCAAGGATTCTTATTCTAAAAACCTCTTTATCTTTCAATTAGAGAAACAGGGAAAAGAAACTGCTTTTGAATTGGTTCGTACTGCCCCCGCAAAATAGATATAAGCCATTCTTTATTAATCTTTTTTCTGGCATAGCATAAATAGCCAATTTGTTTTGTGTTTGTTCGTATAAACGGCACAATGCTACACAAGTAAGTTCCACTGATTGGTGCAGAAAGTAGCCTGCAGGAATGAAAGGAAATCCATAGTGAGTTGTCAGAGAAATCAACATCCTGTCCAGGGAATCTCATGTAACACCTGTTCTCATGTTTTTGCTGACAAAGATACCAAACACAGCCTTCTTTGAAACACTCAAACCTCACAGTTAATAGCCAAAAAATGTCCTTCCCTGCCTTTTAAAACTGTATTCTACTGTTATCAATTTATACTGCTTTATTGTTTTACATAACTTATAAGCTGCCCTGGTGTAATATTTAATGAAAAATACTGACATCCAAGGCTTAAGAATTTAAAAAATATTATTTCACATACATTAAATATGCTGTTTGTGTACATAAATGTATATATTTAGTGGAATTTTTAAAAACTGATTTGCCAGATGTCAACAGAATGTTGAGAGTGAAGGGAGATGGTAGAGTAATTCATCTCACTTCGCTGTGAAGAAAGACCAATTTTTGGTGGGAATCACACCTGTCCTTCATTCCTTTCTATGTGCAGCTCTAACTTGCACTCCAGGGTAAGAAAAAAAAGGTGAGCACATTATGAGTTTATGGTTGACAGTATTTGTTGCAGATCTCGGATTTACACACGAAAGCGAAGTACAGTACAGTAAACTGAAAATGGTTGAACCTTCTACAGCATAGTTTCCTTTGTTAGGTACCACATTAATGTTGGCGTGACTGATGTCTTGCTCTCCTGTATAGCAATAAAGAACTCTGGTTCTGGGTAAGTATTAACTTTCAGTCAAAATAAGTTCCCAATGATGCTATGAGGTCCATGCTCCAGGAAGAAAGGAAGGTTGAATAAGCAGCAGATCTATTATGCATTATACGAGTTATAATGCAATGGGACTGTAATTTAAATACCAAACTTGGGTAAGCCATTATCACCTTCAAAGAAAGACAGGGCTGTTGATAATGATGGTGAGGGATAGCATTCTGCTTTAAAGGGTATTTATTTTCTACTCTAAAGGGTATTCATTTCTAAATTTAAAAAAAGAGAGGATTGTTGAAGGGAGACGAATCTCCGAAAACTTCCAAAGAATCTCCAAGATATACAAATAATGGTACAGTATTCTCAGTGGCAGTGCAATGATTAATAGCATGGAAGATGGGGAGGGGACTGTCACTCTTAAGTCACTAATAGCTTATTATACTATTTTGAAAGGAGAGGTTAGTTGTATGTCCTGATGGTGTATCAGAAAGCTTCTGGTATATGGCAAGGGATGGCAAAATAATGGTTACTCTTTTCCTAGTCTCAAAAACCATTCCCCACTCCTTACTATTTATTTATTTATTTAAAATACAAGCACCTCACCTTTCCTCATACTTCAAGATTGCTTTCCAAAACACAATACAATAAAATACAGAAATATTTGAAATAAATAATAAATAAATGCCAGTTTGGAAACAGACAGTAAAAAGTGTAGCAGAACATTAAAAGTAAAAAAAAAATCCTAGTGGAAAAACTGGAAGGACTGTATGTACTTTTGGTAGGCAAACAGTAATATGGTAAGCTAAATTTTCCCAAATCCTAAAATATTAACACTTGTCGGAAAGCCAAGGGAGAACTTCCCTAGTAGGGACTTCCAAACTTTGGATGCAGTTACAGGGGAGATGTTTGTGTCTTATCTCTGCGAAACATGGCCACGATACTGCTGATCTCAGTAAGGAAGTAATTAAGACGCACATGGTAAGGAACCATCTGACAACAACCCTAATCTATGCACTACTGTATAAGGTTGTATCCAGCATGGAAATGAGTCAGTGCAGTTCTTTCAGAAATGACATACTACTATTACCAGCTCCAGGTGAAAATCTGGACGCTACCTTTTGAACACATTTTTGCTTCAAGCTGCTCTTCTGGCTGTCTACAGAGAAAGCAGGACTGAAGTAGAATCGTTATTCATCTAAGATATGTATTGCTATGACTAGATATGCCTTTGGTGAGGATTTGACCATGAGAAGCCATCCAGGTTCAGACTTTTTCTTCAGTTTGAGGTGTCCTCAAATTTGCCAGAATTCATTTTGGAGGTTTCGTTTAAAATCTTTGCCTCAATCAATCCAAAGTATATGCTATAACTTTACATTTGTAGTGCTTATACATTATTATACTGTATTCAAATATTAAATATGTAATATTTCTATGTTTCAGTAAACTTCATAACTATACTTCCACATAGGCAAGCACAAGATGTCTGCTACAGATGAAGGAATGGCTCCTTTGATTATTTTTGGACTTGGAGCTTTTCACACTTGTCACATTTAGCTAGTACAGTTTTGTTACTATGAAAAATCTCAGCAGCAGATGGCTTTTGCAGTTCTTCTAAGCTGTCTCCATAAGCATACACATGGGACAGGTTATATCACATATTTAGGTTTGACATATTCCCTAATAAAGCAGCTGGCATGCTGAAATATGCAAGAATCAAGATACATATTCTCTTAGGCATCTGAACGAATTCCAAGCCTTGAATGTGGCATGAATGTTCACAATCCATTTGCAAACTTTGCTTTATATTGAAAACAAGTTACTTTAATAGGATTAAACCAATGGAAACAAGTTGTAGACTAGTAACTGCAGAAGAGCAGAGACAGCAAAGCTGTTCTTCATGTACAGAAATGTTACTGAAGGGAAACAGGGTGTAAAATGACTCTTTCCCTATGCTCAAACTATAAATAATTAAAATGAAAATTCATCTTGGTTTCTGATCTATTATCTCGGTTCATCAAATGTAAGCTGATGTATTATACATATAGTGCCCTCTAGTGAAACAATGCTCAACACTTAATATGATGTGCAAAAAATTTTTTTCTTATTCCCCATTTCCAAATTTTCTCTAAATTCTACTCTATATCCTTTGGACATTATATTGTAATCATAAATATATTTTATTATAATTACAGGACACTAACTAATCTGCTTAACAGTTAAAATTAATTTTTATATGTTTAATTGTTACTCTAATCACTTCTAAAACATCACACATTATTCTGGTCTCTTAAAATAATTAGAATGCAATTAAAAATAAGCACAAGGCCACAACCACCAGCATAAGTCCACCGTGTAATTTCAGCAACAAGTTGCCACTAGTTATGAAATCAGGTGCCAGTCATGTATCTTGACATACAATAAGAAATGCAGATACCAACTTCTTACCTAGTGGCAAATCACTGCTGACATGTACACTGATTGACTTACAACAGTGTAATTATTCCATCAGATTCCAAGCAATGTGTTCTATTTCCCTGAAGCCAAAATTTTCTAAGTGCACGAAACGGGAACAATATTTCTAATTATTATTGAGTAGTTACTCTAATCACTTGAATAATCTCAGGATTTCTGCAGGTGTATTTAGGATAATTCAACTTTTTGCTTGTCATGTACTTCATTTGTTTTTTGTGGAAATTATTATAGAGCAAATAAATTGTAACATTTCAATGAAAATAATTCAAAATGATTATTGAATTCTTAAAGTAACATTGTCTTTGCCCCAGTAATCTTGGGTGAAACTTGTATCAGAGTCCAACCAAGGATAGGTGTGGGAACAGGTTGCCGAAGACATGGGAGGGAGGGCTTCCTCTGAATAAGTTTGCCTAAGATTGTCATGTACCTCTTTAGTTCCATCTTAAGACCGTAACTAAATAACTTAAATGTTTTTTTTTCTCCCTATGCTTATCATCTAGCTTGATAAATTGTTTGGAAGAGATTGAAAATTTGCTCACTACAGTATTTTGTAATACAGTGGTGCCTCGCATAGCGAGGTTAATCCGTTCCGGATTAACCTTTGCTATGTGAATACTTCGTTAAACGGAACAAAAAAAGCCATTCCAAATCGGCTGAAAATTCACCGTTTAACGAAGCCTTCCCATAGCCAGCAGCCATTTTTGCACCCTCCCCTCGCTTAACAAGGGCGCGAAAATGCTGCTCGTGGCCATTTCGGCTGTTCCGGCAGTCATTTTGGACCCGCCGAACAGCTGATCCGCGAGGCGCAAAGCGAAGGTCGGTAAGCAAAATGCTTACCGATCTTCGCTATGCGAATTTCGGCCATCGGTATGCGATCGCATTTGCGATTGCAAAAACCTAATCGCTATGCGATTTCGTCGTGAATTTTGGAAATTTTGTTAACAAGTCTCAAACCGTATTCAATTTTGCATTTAAAAGGACATTGCACACCAATGGTGGGCACTCTAGGGTCTTTTAGAGAGTGCAGGGCATTTTTGGCATGCTTTGAGGGGGCCTTCAAAAATCTAGGCTCCCCAAAAATCCATGTTTTAATTTGTTTTGGCCTCTAGAGGGCTTTTTCAGTTTTTAAAAAGGCATTTCTATAAAAAAGATTTGAAGTAGTGGGTTGTGGAACTGGATGTCAACATTAAGGGATGGTCATATATAGCCTCTAGTTCTCTGCAGATTTTCCAACACACTATACACCACTATAGAGTGCAAGAGATTCCCTCTCTCCTCTACGTACAATTCAAAGATCTTTTGGAGGGCTCAGAAAGTCTTTATAGCCACATAGGAAATGGAAAGCTCTACCACATAAACAGAGTCTGCTCAGGTTACACCGTATATCACATATTTTGGTCATCTACAATTAAAGCTTAAAGGGAAAGCTAACCATGGACAGAATTAACCCCAAATTAAAATGTGGACTGATAATCAAGGAAGACCAATTATCTGTCCTACTCTTTGATTTTATCTTCCAGATTAGAAATACCTCTATGTATTTGCTGTGGTGCTTTTGCATACTTTTCAGCTCATTGGTGTAACAGCCAGTAGGATGGAGTGGACAGTGATATGCTATGATCCAAGAGACCTGGGTTCAAATTCCTTCTCAGTCATGAAAACTCACTGATGTGCACGTATGCTAAACCCACTCCTTAAATATTTCACAAACCATGAAAACCATGGCAGTTAAAGTGGTTCTCACACCTAAATCTGTTACATTTTAATATGTTAGTAAAGCCTAATATCTTTTAATTTGGAAAGACATGTGGAGCTGGAACAAAAATACTTTTAACTCTGAAAAGTACCTGCCCTAAATACATAATTGTTGCCTTGCTTTAAAGCATGTCATAATTTTCCTAAAAACAGCAGTGGCTTTAGCTAAAAAAAAAGTACAATCAATTGTGAAAAATGAAAAAAGTTTATATTTAGTGTATCCATGATCAAGACCGTAACAGTTCAACAAGATACACAGCATCAATACAAAATGCATGGATGTACTTACACAAATAACTGTACAAAATAATTTATTATTTACAACTCATGTGATGACCTAAATCCAATGGGACATCCGCTCCGGGAACTGTTCCATCTGCAGAACAGGAGATGCCTCTCCAATGCAGCCCCAATGTATCCCCCAATACACTCCAAAAACACAGTACTGAACACTGCAGTCAGGAGGGGAAGGGAAGAAAAATCCCCAAAGTTACTTGAATCTAGGCTTAGACGTTAACCAACACAGTCTGGATCACCTCCTTTAAGGAAGATAAGATTAACTGAGTTCTTTTTCTGTCAGAGGATCAAAGAAAGGATGTTTTAATGCTTCATCTAGAGTAATTCTCTTGGCTGGATCATACTCCAACATCCTACGAATAAGGTCAAAAAGATTCTCATGGTCTTTATCATGGCAGTGCATAAATTCCTAAAGAAAGAAAGAAAGAAAAGAAAGAGATTGTACATATCATTCCATTGCAGGAATCAAGCAGATGAGCAAATTAATAATGGTCTTACCTTTAATGGTTTACATCGTCTCCTAACATAGCGACCTGCAGAACTGTGTTCATCCCAGTCCAGTTGATTTTTGTGGAAATAACGTTTCCTATACATAAAAGAAAATGCTATAAAGGTTACACTCTATTTACCATTATCTTCATGGTCCATTAATTTGTTTGCTCTTGATAATACTTTTTCCCTGTTTTCTGACAGATTTTAATATTCCTTTTAATTCTACATCTAATTCAACCACTTCTTATATTCCTGTCCCTTGCCATCTGTGGCAGTTTTCAGCTTTGATTCATTGTCTTTATTAATTTTAAAAAGCTTTCCTCTCATGTAGTCTTTTTCAAACAATAATTTCATCACTACATTTGTAGCGGTGTCACCCTATGTTATACTTGCATCCAAATCCTAAAAATGTTTACTCAGAAAGAAGCCTCTCTGAATTCACTGCAATTCATTCAATAGAAAAATATACGTAACATTTCTGTCCAAATTCTATCTTGTAGCTCAGGCTCTCTTGCCTAAGCAACTCTGTTTTTCTTCCCATCTTAAGCAAACCTCTTCTCTTCCCCATTCCAGCTGTTTTTCTTTCTTTCAGGTGCACAGCAACCTGAAAAGCTTACTGGTGGTGTCGTTCATTTCACCCAGGACACAGTTATAGCAAGCAAACACGGCTACCATTAGCACTGCAGACAAATATGCCAGTTATTATGGCACCAGTCTCAAAAAACATTGCTGTGCAATTTACCTTGCAATTAACTACCACCAAGTTTAATGGGAGTTACTGTTCAGTAAGTATGCAAAGAACTGAAGTCTTAAGACTGGAAGTGACAGAAGGGCAGCTTTGTTGTCTGCTTTCTCCCCCAAAGTCCTTCTGACAACAGAATTCACTGCATAGCAGCAGTGACAGGAAATGAAAATGCTGCTCTAGACTTGGCAGAATCTACAGCTGCTCAACCTGGAGGAGCTTGGAAGAAAAACCTTGTTGTTGTTGTTAAGTTGTGTCCGACTCTTTGTGACCCCATGGACCAGAGCACGCCAAGCCCTCCTGTCTTCCACTGCCTCCTGGCAGTGGAAAACCTTGTTACTGACTTTCTATCCTGAACTATCTGGAGAAACAATCGATCAATCCATTTCTGATTCACTGTACCTGCTCAAGAAATGTATGAACTAGTAAGTTTTAGCAAACCAAGGTCCTGGCTTATATTCCTCTACAAATATAGCCAATATGACATATTTTAATCCCCCCCCCCAAATAAAAAAAATCTGTTCTAAATCAGATATACAAGACATGTGAACAATCTAAAATAAATTTACCTTGATTTTTTAATCATATGCACTGGTAAAGGTCCTAGTATCCTTTCCATCATTGCCAGATGTTCCTTACTATCATGTGTCTGGAAAAAGGAACCAAAAGAAAAGGGGGGGAAAGAGGAAAAAACACAATCATGCTCTATTTGTCTCTACATAACAACTATCAAAATCGAAATCAGATTCCGCCTGTCCCCTGTAAACAGACTACAGAGTAATAGGAAAGGATGTTTCAAACATAACAAAAAAGAGCGGGGGGGGGGGAAGGAACACTTCCTGACTATTGGGTATGGGTTTCAGATTGCAGCATTTGACTACCAAAAAGGCTTGGGTATTCATCAACTTAATTCATTCAATACAAATATGAACAACTTCCAGATAAAAGAATTGGGGGGGGGGAATGCTACTAACTGGATCCTTGTAAAAATGCCACAGATAAAATCAAATGACTGTATTTAAGCTTATTCAACATTATATTTCAATGGTAGATCTTAGATAAAATAATAAACACTCACCTGAAAGACTGTAAAGCCAAGATAATATTCTATCAAAATGCATCCTATGCTCCAGACATCACAAGGCTGGGACCACCCAAGTGCTGTAACACAATTCAGAACCCCTTGTCACTTGAGGATGCTTAAGATGCAAATCTAAAAAAGTATTCTGAACAATGTTCATCTAAACTCACAAACCACACCCATATGTTCTATTGTTTCCCAAATGTTTATAAAAAGACAGATAATTCAGTATCTTATACTTGGTCATATTAGAAATATGATAATTTGAAGAGCTTGTACTGACTTGTTAAATTTCTAATACAATTAATTTCAAACTGTAGTAATTTTGAAAGTCTTTACTAACCTAATATAACTTCAGGTGCTCTGTAATGCCTTGTAGACACTAAGGTACTATGGTGCTCATTATCATACGTTGCACTTCCAAAATCTACAACTTTAATATCTGTGTTTTTTAGTGTGCGTTCATCCCGCCTCTGTAAGGAAAACAACATGAACATCATTTTTAAAAGCTATTATTTCTTATTTGCATATGCAGAATATAGCTATTCATTGATGGAACATATTTTCTTAATGTTAACCTGCCCTGAATACACAAAAAATAAACAGGAGACTTTTTAAACTGTCCAAATATGACAAATGTACACAATTTAATATTCTTAACTCTAGTCCCATTCACTTATCTCTTCTCTACCACAACTATGCTCTGCTGTTGAGCTCCCTCTGGTGACAAGTATGGTCTCCAAAGAAGCTGCAACCATGGTTACAGAGCTTTATAATGTCAGAAGCTCATATAGCGGAGGTCCCCAACCTCTGGTCTGTGGCCCCAGGCTGGTGAGACAGACCACCTGCACAGCCCGTCTGCAGCTGCCTGGGCACTCGAGCACGTCCGTGCGAGCACACACCGCCATTTGCGTATGTGCATGAGTGCATGCGCCCAGGCAAGCGCAGTGCCGCTGTTTGTGCATGCGCATGCCTGCACTTGTTTGCGCATGCATGGGGATGCCCACCTTCCCCAGCTGGTCTGCGGACCAAAAAGGTTTTGGGACTGCTGCCTTATAGGACAGGTTTCTTGGATGTATAGACCTTTAGGGGCACAGTGCACTGTTTAGAGCCATTTTATAGTCCTTAAGGCTACCACAGAATCTTTTGTTTTAAAAAGGGAAGGTTTATGTCATTTCCTGGAGACCTCCAGGCTCAACAGTTTTGAAGTTAAGGACCTGCTTTTGGGGGTGTCCCTCAAGCTTCCCCTTCCCCAAGCAAAAAAAAAAAAAA